GGAAATAAGTCAGAATTCAGACTTTTTTTCTCAGAATTCTGACTTTAATCTCAGAATTCTGACTTTAATCTCAGAATTCTGACTTTAATCTCAGAGTTCTGACAGCTAACAAACATGTTAGCATCAAGCCATAGCCATGTCTGTTTTAGAGACTAGCTCTCTTGTTTTAATGACCTTCTGCTCCTCTATTAATGAGGCGACCCCTCGGGCACGTAAAAAGTCGCCTAATTCCATCATTTTCCACCAATGTGACACTGGCCACCTCAAACTACTCACATCTTTGTCAGTGAAGCTGAGTGCTCCACATCTCTTCCTTCATGGTGCCCATCTACATTAAGATCCACAATCCTGAGATTAAAGTCAGAATTCTGACTTTTTCCCCATACTAAATTGAAATAAAATTTTTAAATCAGTAAACGTTTTTTTTTTTTTTTTTCCAGTGGCCCTAATCCTCTTCCGTACATATCTGCCTCAATAACCATTAAAACAACTATTTTCATTCATTTCAGACGGAACTATTCACATACTTTCACATTATATTAAACTGAACTTCCAATTTTCACCACTGTTCGGCTCCAAGTACCATTTTCCTCTGATCACAGCTTGCTTGGTCTCGCAATGAATCCTGGGAAAACCAGGGATAGAGAGGATACATCGGACCCGTCTGTTAAATCGGGCAAAAAGAAGGACGCATTTTTAGGCAGCATAACGAGGAGTCTTGGAATCCGACCAGACCTCGACGTAATCGGCCTTTGAATCTGGCCTTCTGACGATGCAGCCCATAAATTTGAACGCAGACGTATTCTTATCTTACTTACTCTCCTATTTATTTAAACTAAAGGCTAAATCAGACTCTGGAGCTGCAGCTCCCCCAAAGCAGCAGCATCAGCCTCCTCCGTCCACAATGATCAACACCGTTCGCATAGAGAGGCTTTCTGATGACGAGGATGTAGACATCACTGATGATCTGAGTGATACTGATGGAGAGGACATGAAAAGTGAAATCAGTGCGGCGGCGAAGACGCCAGAGGCTGAGACTCAAACAGAACGGCTCACAGAGCAGCAGAAAGAGACGACCCTGTTGGAAAACATCAGAGAGATGAAGGATCATCCCTGCCTGAGCTCTTCCTCTGTGCAAAGTCCTCCACCGTCTGTCATCTCTTGCACTGAGGAGGAAGATAAACCGACATCAAATGAGGATGTTTTAAAGACGGAGCATCCTGGGATAGAAGCAGAAAAAGACTCAGCTGATCACAGTGATGACCAGAGCTCCCAGTGTGAAACCTCCATGCCTGCTGGTCAACCCTCAGCAGCGTCTTATGACTCCACAGGTAATCACCATCAGGAGATGCTTAGTGTCTCAGCCTCATATATCTGTCACTGAGAGGGATTTTTATTTTTATTTGGTCAGATTCTGCTGAAAACATCATCATTAATAGACCAGAGAAAGACCAGGAGGACGAAGACGAGGAAGTGGAAGAGCTCAAGGCCCCTGAGCAGGAAACTGAGATGGACACAGAGACCATCACGGAGGATGAGAAACAAGCCATCCCCGAGTTCTTCGAAGGTCGGCCATCAAAAACCCCCGAAAGATATCTGAAGATACGGAACTACATCCTGGATCAATGGTAGCACCGAACCCTTCTTACTCTGACTTTTACTTCAGCCCAGCTGAGCGCTGCTGTGTTTATCATTAGGCGGAGGAGCAAGCCCAAATACCTGAATAAGACGTCAGTCCGTCCTGGTCTGAAGAACTGTGGAGACGTGAACTGCATCGGCAGGATACACACTTACCTGGAGCTCATTGGAGCTATCAACTTCAACTGTGGTAAAGCTGCAAACCTTCAGCTGCATCCGCTTTTATCTCTGTGTCTGCGCTCATGCTTTCTTCTCGTAGAGCAAGCGGTGTATAATCGACCCAAACTGGTGGACCGGTCCAAATCCAAGGAGGGAAAAGAGGTGCTTGAGGCCTATCAGCTAGCTCAGAGGCTGCAGAGCATGGTAGGTTCCTGAACGCTGTGACCAGCTGGAAAGCTTTGCAGACTTAAGCTAAGATCGGGTTGATTGCAGCGGACCAGGAAGAGGCGCGTTCGGGACGTATGGGGGAACTGGTGTGACGCTAGAGATTTGGAAGGACAGACTTATGAGGTATAAACACTCATCTTTCCTCTCCACTGTCGCTACAAGCATGCTTAGTGTGAGGGATTGCTGAAGAGTCAATGAGTCGATGCAATCAGCTGCTTTTCCTTAGATAAAAAACTTTGAATCAATCTGACTGGATGATCTGGTGAACTGGAAAGTGACCTGAGATGACATGTGTTGTGAATTTGCTTTATAGAAATAAACTGAATAGAATTGAATCTTAGCCGGTTTGAATGCTCATCTGTATTTCTACTGAGTCTGTGTGTGAAACGTTTTTCAGCACCTCAGCGCCGAGGAGTTGGCTGTGAGGAGAGAGGAGATAAAGAAGCAGCCTAAACCCTGCAAGATGTCCAGACACAAAGGGTGAGCGTCATCAAGTCACATGTTGAGTATTCATTTCTATGCTGGAGAAAACTAACCATAGAATCTATCTCTGTTAATCAGGTCTATTGATCCATTCATGCTGATTCCTTGCAGATCTTTTGAGAAAGATGTACAGGTCAGTGAGCATTATTCTCATTGTCTAATCAAACCGTTGCAGTTAAATATAAAGACAATCTGCCTTAAGAAAATATGAGCCCAACATGGACAATACAGCATTTTTATATCATTTCCAGCTAAATCAGACATAAAAACACCTTCTCTACATCACCGTTGCAGTGGTGGCTGGCCCATAGGGGGCGCTTGGGTGCTGCTGTCCCTAGATTTGGAGGGGAAAAGTCATAAATAATGGAGATTTAAAAAATATTATCAATGTCAGTTTTACTTAAGGGGAATGCGTTTTTTTTTCCATTGGTCCCTTGATTTTCCGTTTTTCCATCATGTTCTACTCACCCATATGAGTTTAGTGTCATTTGGAGCCGTTCTGAAGATATTCCGTTAGGTTATATCCAGGTAACGTCTTCCTATGGGCAACGA